GGAGCAATAAAGCACAAGTGGAAATCTTAGATGATGTTCTTCTGGTTGCAAGAAATATTTTTCATAACATATAAATTGCACTACTTTGCAGTAATAAAATCACCATAATTCCATCAAGAAGTAGCTTTATAGCACTAATCGTGTAAGCACTGTATGAAAGAATATTGCTTTGGTTTGTAATTTGGCTTCTGCTAATTCTCCTTGATTGGCTTTCTCTTTACTGTATGTAACTTCTGCAATGTGGACATAATTTGGCATAACACAAAAAGAAATATTCACAAATAAACCAAGTATGATAAAATTTACATTACAGTCACACAGACAGACACTAAAAACAATGAAATAGTGCTTACATGTAGGTGCTCAAAATATTTTTTTAGCAAAAAAGGAGCTACCCAAGCGATGTCTGCAGTGTATCAGCATTTCAAGCAATGTAATCGGCATTGATAGGTCTCAACTTGGGCAAGAACAAATTTTGGGTGTTTCTGCACCCCGGCCATTGAGCTCCAGCCCCTGGAGACCCCAGGAAGCATAGGGCAGTACTGCAGCTGACTGCAAGTGTCCTGAGTACCAAACACAGCGGCCCTGCAGCGGGGCGGCAGCGAGGTGCCCAGTGCTCCCCGCCGGCAGGCCGCCAGTACACCGGAGGAAGCTCCCAGGTCCCCTGGGAACAGGAACTGGCACCAGCACTGCTCCAGCACCTCCCTGCCGGCTGCTCCTTTATGTCTCCATCCTCAAGGCGGGTGAGGCAGATCCCAAATTAGCACTTTTTATAAGCATTTCGTTTCAAAACACAGAGCAAACAGCACTGCTGCAGAAAAGGGTTCAGGATAGGAATGAAAGGTCTCCCTCTGCTTGTGCGAATCAGAGTTAAGCGAGTGTGCTCACAGGCAATATGAAAAGACATAGTTTCTCTGCTTCTTCCCTAACTCTGCTCTAGAGCTGACATCCAGCTATCCCATGCAACCCAGTACGGGCTGCAGTGCAGGAGGAGTCTTCCCCACTACTGCATTATGAATGAAAAACTGAGGTCAAACTCACAAGCAAAAAAAATCTGAAGAATGCAGCACAGCCAAGAGAAGGGTGTTTTGTTCTGGCAGAGCCCTGACTGGAGTTGAGGCAAGAGGAGGAGGGGAGGAGGATGTGAACCAGAGAGAGACAAAAAGGAAAGGAAGAGAAGGGGGAGAGGACTGACAGCATGGTCCTTTTCTTTAAAGTATTTTATAAAGTAAATAAAACATTAGTGAAAATTTCAAAGCATCACAATCTCTATCTTTCTTATCCTCAAATGAGACTGCTCTTCAGTATAAGAAAATAAGCATTCCCTGAAGAATAAGGCTACAAAGTGGCAGAAAAAAACTGCTTCCTTTGGTGCTCCTCAACCCAAGTGACTAATTGAGTCAGGATAGTAATTCTCAAAAAAAAAAAGAAAAAAAAAGATCCCTTTCCTGTCTCTAGACTTTTCCCACTCCAGTTCTTAACTTCATAATGACAGATGTGCAGTGCAAAAAAATCCTGCTTGATTGTTTAAGAAAAAAAACAAACAAACAAACAAACAAAAAAACCCAACAACTTTAAAGCACCTACCAATAAGCACCAAAGCATTAGACTTTCTGACTTTAGCATCAGGCCTCACCAACATCCAGATGAAGCAACACACCACTCAGTCCACACCACTGCATATAACACTAATGCAAACTGAAGAGCATCTTCTTAAGCACACACCAACAGTGAAATGGATCAATTTCCATTTAAAAATAGAAACTTTAAGGAATTGGGACAGCAACCTGAAGCACCTCCACACATGCAGAAACACACATTTTTTCAGATCTTCTGTTGGTGCTCAAAAGATCACTTATCTGTAGAAAAAAGTAGAAAAAGAAGTCTACTATTTTAGACCATAAAAAGTGTTAGCAACTCTCACTGGAATGCAAGGAATACTTGTCTGCTAAAACTGTATATTTGCATCTTATTTTTTGCTAGGAAAACATGACAGATGTCTACAAGATTTACCAGCTCATTTTCCAGACTCACTGCACAAACAGAAGATGGGGCTCTAACTATCATCTATATGCCTTCCAGACAGGAATATGACCTACCCTCAAATTTATTGAGGCCGCTCCAGGCTCACAAGTAGGTCTCACTTAGTGACCTACTTCTGCTGGGATGCTTGCAAGGAATCAGTTTGACTTAGAAAGTAAATTGTCATTATTGCTTCTCTACTCCCATCCTCTTTCAACCTATGCTTTCCTAAGAGATGGTCCTCTCCTGTGAATTTTGCAATAGTCTTGTAGCTCTTTAAAAACTCAAACTAATTAAAAATACAGGAGCAGTTTAACAGGTTGACACACTTCACCTTGAAACTTCAGCTTTCAGTACAACTTATTGTGAAACAAGAAAAAAAATTTAGCCCTCTTATTCTTGAGTGGGTAGAGATTGCAACACCTAGCCACTGCACAGTTCAGTACCACCTGTCATCCTGTCTCAGACACAGCTCTGACTGATGTCAGAGTGCTAGGGAGACACCTTGTCTTCTTCCTCTGTCTGGCATGGGTTGGCCAAAAAGCCTGGTCACTATTTACATGCTGTTATAAATAACAGAAGGATTTTGCTTTCACTAAAAGTAATTAAAGAATTACTTTTATTGAGTTAGGCTAAAGGTGTTATTAAATTAGTATTGTTAAAATTATAAAAATTAAGCAAGCCTTTTTTGATCACAAATTAGGCATATGGTTGGGCATTGTGTGGAATTGGACAAGCAATATGATGGGAGGGTGGTCTGTGGTTAGGTATCTTGTAAAGGGGAACCTGGATGGGAAGGGCCGGGGAAGAATGGAAGCCAGCAGAAAAGGAAGCGAAGACCTGGTGATGAAGAGGAACCTGGACTTCGCCGCCTCCCCGCTCCGCCCCCCCCCCCCCCCCCCCCCAGCAAACCCAGCCCCTGAGGGCAGTGGAAAAGTACTGAGAGAGAGACAGCCTCGGAGAAACACAGAGAAAGGAGCTGCGCAGGTGTAAAGAGGAGAAAACCCACCACTTTCGCTTAACCAGTGAAATCTCCTGGTTGCTCTATAAAAAGAAGCCCCTGCTTCTTTGCTTCACTGACTTTGTCCGCGAATAAAACTTTTTTTTTGATATACGTGAGCTTGTTTCTCACAGATGCCTTGCAGTTTTCACCAACCTGTAGTTTAAGAGTTTCAAGAGCACAGTGCCTTCCCAGTCACAAAAAGAAAACTACAGGGTATCCTTGAACAAAACTGAGCCAAGAAATACAATTTTTTTAACATGACCACCTATTTCATTATTTTATTCTGTCCTGCTTCAGTGTGCTTTTTCAACATTTAAATAAAGCAAAGAAAAAACAATCTCATATTATATCATAGGGAAGAAATGATCCTATAGAGAAAATACAGGATACTCTCTGAAGAGCTGACCCAAATCTAAGAATGGCCAGAAACACACATTTGCATGTGCAGTTGTTCATATAAGCACATATCTAGAAGGGAGTGTACATCCAAGTAGCTCCCCTGTCACCTAGACTGTATATGTTCCATGCAACATGCTCAGACCACTAAAGTTACTGCTCAGATAAACCTGCAGAGTTAGGGTATAAAGTAAAATTATTATTTGCTTTTTTAAAAATACACCTCTGAGATTACCCATCTGTAGTATTAGCTGCTCCATTTTACTAATTTAGGTGACTATTTAAAAACAGAGGCATCCTTTCACTTCACAGCTAATGTCTGTAAGTGAAAATTTAATTTATCTTTCCACCAAATTCCCATTAATGCTTCAGACACACTTTCATTTCTCACTACATGTTCCCAGTCATCACCACATAATTCACATAATTTCTGGATGTCAATGTTAAATTCTCTTTTTTAAAGAGCGGAGCAGACAAACCCTCAGAACAGCTTTTTTTCCTAGATTTTTTTAAAATCACTCCAATGTCATCAAATCTCTACACATCAAACATGAAAACTCTGAAAAACATGGTCACGTGTAACACTGCAGACGCCACTCTAACTTATTTCTTGTCTGTGCAAAACAGCATCAAGATGACCCACAAGAAGCAATGAAGGGCCAGACTGTGCTCTTCTGCCTCACAGTTGAAGTAGCGTCAAGACAATGAGGACCCCTCACCAGCTGCAGTCTGGTCAGAGACCGGACGCAGCTCCACGGTGACAATAAGGTCAGCAAGCAGGGGTTGCATCCTCCCACTTCGGTGTTTCTGCAGACCAGGCACAGAGCTGCCCATCTTGCAGAAGTCAACAGGAACAACTATTTTCAAAGCCATGTACACAGTTTAGTTCTAATTCAGTTACTGAACTACTTTTATATTCTTCAAGTTCTTATTACTGTAATTTAATTTTCTTGTCAGCAGAATAAATAATCAAGTCAATATAGCTGACTTGCTGACCCTTTTCTCATCCTTACCGAAGATGTGCAGAAAAGTAATACTTTTACTTAAAACCCTGAGTAAGGAAAAAGGAAGCAGGAGCTCTTGCTTCATTTTTATCTTTTATTCCTACATCAAAAAAATAGATTTTTATGGCCTTCTGAAATCAACATTCAACAGTTTCCCTTACATACTCTCATTTTAGCAACATAAGACACAAGAGAGCAATAAAAGACTCCTAGGAAGAAACTGTTAAAACCTCATACAAAACATGTTCCTTTTGAAGGGCAGAGACTAAAAGCTTTATGTTAACTCCCCACCCAGTATCACCATGTCCCTACCATATACATTGTAACAACCATGTACATTAAAAACCACATACACAAACTATGGGCCTCAACCCACTAACAGTATGTCCCACTCAGCTTCCTAGGCCTCAACAATGCCCAGAAAAATCAGTGGGTATGTCCCCCTTAGTTCCCTGAAGCTTTGGACTGAACATTTAGGCTATTTTTTTTCATTATTCAGAGTATACAGAGACACATACATTTTTTGCACCCTCTTAGCAATTTTTCTCTTGTGCCTGGGAGGCTGCTTTCCCTACCTGATCTCTCAGCTGTTGAATAGAAGTCTGAAGGTTGAGAATTTGGTTAAAGAGAGGACTCTGAAGCACGGATTTGAATAAGCTCAGTTTCTCCTCGTTTGCAATGTCACCTCGGTCCCGAAGTTTTGCCTGTAAGCGCTCCATGGCCTGAAGGGCCCGATGTGTATCTGTAGCGATAATCATTCTTAGTCAGTAACAGTTTAGAAACAGCCACATACAAGCAGGTAACAGGTCTAAATGTATCCCTCTCTACTGTTCAAACTAGAGAGGACTTAAATTGTTCGGTTCCGAACAAAAATCCCAGCCCAAACATGTCTAATTAATCAGGAAATCAGAGGCAGAGCACAAATTAAAATTCAGTTACAGGAACTGTGGCTAAAACCCACTGTAAATAAGCCATGACAAAAATAGCCATAATAGAAAACACTTGTTTTTTTTCATACAAACTTTTATAATTCTAGTAAAGATTAAAACAATGAAATCAATATGAGAGGCTAAAAATTAAATGCACTAAACAAATGATGGTACACCTTTTATTTTCAAATACAAAATACAAAAGCCAAAATACATCATGTATTTCTAACTACAGTAGGTATTTTTCATAGAACCTCCCTCAGCAGTATATATCAATATCCTAAATCTACGATGCACAATTGATTTGGCCAGAAAAATATAGCGATAGAAACTAAAAAAGATTACCAATTGTTTCCAACATGTTTTCTGCTTCTCAGCTTCTATTCCAATAATGGTAAGAGGCAGCAAACACAGTATTTCCCTGAAAAATAACAGAAAAGGAAAAGGGTCACATTTATAGAAACGCTAAGCTCTGATGAACTAAAAAGCTTGACTTCTGAAAACAAGAAACAGCCCCTCAAAATAACAATCCACAAAAAACGCATCTCCTTGGATAATTAAAATAACCTCAGAGGTGACCTTATTCTGAGTCAATTTGGAGCTTGAAACCTGTCTGAAATTTTATTTTAGGAATATACTTTGTACTATTTTTTCATCTCCATATCAAAGCTGCTGTCTGCACACTGTTGCACAACACGTTCTGCATTACTTTCATTAGAAGCTATGAATCATAGCTGTCATGGATACTTTACAGAGTTTCATTGCTCTCCTTTTCAGTGATTCACAAAAAATGTTCACTGAGAGACCATTTTTCAAGCTCTGTGTTGATAATTTCAGGTGCATGAGCTATAGCACATTTTTTAAAGTCACCTTTTAAAAAGAAGTCACATAAGTCACAAAGTCTTCATGCTACACAGTCTTGCAGAACTCTCACGCTACAGCCTCCACTATTAACGCCTATGGGAGCTGAGTCTCAGATCTGGATGACGGCTGGGTTTTTAGGAAGGAAATTCTACACTGGGAGGAAGAAATTTTGAAATTGCTCTGTTTATACTTTTTGTTGGTTTTTTTTTTTTTCCAACTGTGTGTCTGCAATTGCTCCTAAATTTCTAGTGACCGAATATGTTTGATGGAGATGGATAGCTGAGAAGTGAGGAGTTCAAATATCATTGCAGGTGTATGAATTGAGCTGTTCATTTTATCGTCTTATCTTTCATAATGGTGCCTTTGATTTCTTGATAACAGGAAAGCACTTCAGGAGAGCACTCAAAGTTGAATCTGCTGAGTTTACCAATATGTAGAGAGCTGTGATCTCTAAGCACTCATAAAAAAAATAAGTTTTTCCTAAAACTTTGGAGAAAATAGGGAAAGGAATAGTGTTGACAGATCTCTGGGTAAGATAGCCTAAAATTCAGCAGGACCATTAGTTATAGAACCTGAGTAGGACAAGCATGAATTGATCCTCACAATCAAAGCAAGAAAACAGTTGTTAACACAGATTCACTCAGAAGGAGCAAAAGCCAGGATGAACATTTTGAAAAGCCTTATTATTTGCAGTTTGTGTAGAAAACCCAAGTCAAGTGGGTTTAAAATGGTTTCAAGTTCCATCACCAAGACTTCCCTGGTTTCAATATGCCTGAGGCTTCATACACTTTATTTTATTGCAATTGAATTTGCCAATACATTTGTATAGAATTGCTGATCATCCTTTTTAGGACCACTTAGGGATAGATGTTCAAATCATTTGAATCTGATTTTGTCAAAGTAACATTATTCTGTGACGCACGTTATGCAAATCAGTAATAAACAAAAACAAGCCTTCATGAATTTTTTTTCTCACTTGGCAAGGCAAAATGCCAGCAGAGGATCACCACATCTAAAAACCAAACCAAGTATCTTGTGTTTTCATCTTGTTACTCCACAAATACAAGAGAAAAAAATGTCTATTTTGCATGGGAAGGGCTGGATGAGATTATTTAAACATTATGAAGGAAGCTGACTTCCCCAAACCTTAATCACTCATAGCTTTTCCTTCTAGATTAACAAACTACCACCACTTCTTCTATTAAGAGTCCCTATTTACAAATAGAGGCATTTATGTCATGTTCACAGGTGTTTTTCTCAGCAGCAATGCCAACCAAAGCAGTTCTTTCCTATTTCACTGTTCCAGGTCTTCATCTACAGCTACTCTCAGGGCTGTGTTGTGGACGCAACCAAAGAACTGTGCAAAAAAAAAAATGTGGAGTATCTGTCAGTCATTTCAGTGCCACAATCGTATCACAGTACTATATGCACAAGCACATAGTCTCATATGTGCAACTCACCTTCTGAGGAAGCTAATCAGGAAAAATACAGGGTTACTGTTCTGCTTTAGCTCCCTAAGAACTTCAAGAAGAGATGCAGCTGTAAGAAGTCTGTATCTTTTGGAATAGCTAGATATTGCTTTACATTACAATTCAACTTGCCTAAAAGCTCATTCCTGGTGTTCTGTGAAAGGCGTGTTTTACAAGTGGTAGAATGGACAAGGTCACCACTGTGTTCGTGCAATCCCAGAGGTACAAACTCTGATGATTTATAATGGAAGCTTTCTAAAAGCAAGCACAAGTCCTAAACATACTCTACAGATGGAGATGATCCTATCTAATTTGCAATGAAAAGAAGTCCTCAGCTCTGCCAAGACACTTATGATATACTTTCTGTTTACTTCACGGTTTAGAGGTAGGAATATTGCTCCAGAGCTATCTTACTGTCAGCAAATCTGTTTTTAACTCTCAGTTGAATTGTCCTTATTTTGTGTTTATATTAGCAGGGAATCCCTCCTCAGCTGACCAGCTTAATGCTTCTGTCAATTGTGACACTAAGAGGGAGGAAGACCAAAACTGCCATCAGGATGTTTTCCTTCAGGACACTTCCTCTGACACAGAAGCAATGCATTGAGGCACACCAGCACTTCTACATGTCACAGTCCAAGATGACCCCTGCTTTCTTTGCCTACACTTTGAAATGGCAAAAAGCTATGTGACTGTGCTCCTGCTGTGCCACATCCATGCTAACAAGTGGGATCTATCATCACCAGCTTAGCAGCACATTAACATAGCCAAAGTACAGGGGATGCAAGGACACATATGTCTAAAATGCACCACAGAGACATACCATCACCACCACCACTCACTACAGCTGCAACCCCCTGACCTTTAAACCAGCTTGCTTCTAGGTATTTTAACATTCATGTGCTGGGGAGAAGTACGAAAGCATGAATGATTATTTGCTGAAAGGCAGAAGTCTATAATTTGCTATAGTGAATATTTTTATAATGTCATCACAGACTTCTAGATGCATGAATGGGAAGTTTAGTTCTAATTCTCTCCTTTGCATACTCCCGGCAGTCTGTATCACAGGAGTCTGAAGCCAAAACCAGACCTTCTATACCTGATACAGATACTGTTCACACCTCAAAGAGCTTACTAGCTTAGCTCAAAGTAGATTTAACTATTTTTGTATTTCAGTGCTAAAGTTCATTAATCTCTTCACAGTAATAAAAACATAAGACTGAGTTAGACTTTTTTATTGGCAACTTGAAGAAATACTGTTAAATGAATAGCAAGCTAAATTCACTTTCAAGTTTTTAAAGGCACAGGTACCTCAAAAATGTGGCTTAACAAACAAACAAACAAAAAAAAAAAAAAAAAAACAACAACAACAACAATAATAAACTTATCTTTCTCCTCCTGTTTTATAACAGCAAAGTAGAAAACATAAGTAATTTTAGGCAGGTGCATGGTGAGAAACTTGACATCTTCCACTTAACATGCACAAAAGTCAAAGATGATCCCTTTCAAACTTGCAGTTCTAAAATTTGATTCTTCCCATGCTAACAAACAAAATTGTGTTATATACACATTTCTTCTCTCTTTATGCTGCCCTTCTTCTCTAAGATCAGTTGCCACGAAACAGCTGTTATGCTGCAGCTCTGGTTTCTTTGTGCCCACTCCTAAAACACTAAAATCCACAAGTATCAGAATTTTAAAAAACAAACATGAAATTTATGTTGATGACCTCTTTTCCACTGCAACCACACAAGCCAATTAGCTAAAAAAAAACAAAAGATTCATGAAAAGGGAAAGATGACCCACTTCCAATGATTACTCTTTCACAGCTGATCATGTAGTTCCTACAAGGAAACTTGCTGTTTCCTTGACGGATACTCCACCTACTATTTCACAAAGCCACTTCAGATGATACCCTAGAAACTAATGCTCATAGCACTGGATTAACAAACATGCAATGCCAAAGATAGAAAACACAGTAAGAGGCTTTGCCCTGCAGCTCCTGCATTACTTGAAGTGCTCTGAGGATTCAGAGGAAATGCCTATCTTACGAGTGATCTCTAGGCCCAAAATTTGGCTAGGAGTTGCTTGAGATTAAAACTAAATCTGTTTCAATTACACAGCACAGTAATCACAACATGCATTTTACAGCTACTAAAAAAGAGAATTTCAAAACTTCTAATCTAAATTTCAACACCTGGGCCTGGATTTGGCTGGGATAGAGATATACTTTCATATTTGATTTTCATCCCATGTTGATTCCCTCCCCTACTTTCTGGCTATCACTCAAACAGGCATGTTATGTTAGGACCGCCTGGTGCGGGAACAGAAACCAAACCACACAGGAAGTGGAAGATACTAATTACCGCTAAACCTTCTGCTTTGCCTGGTATTTCCAGGAGCTCTTCCGTTTCCCCCAGCTTTGCCCAGTTACCTTCTGCATGCTGGCTACCATCACCACGAAGAAAATACAGTGATCCCCTGACTTCCTGAGGAGAGTCTTGTCAATATAAAGTCAGCAGAAACCATTCATGGTAAATTTAAAGATCTCACGCTTTTCCATGTAGTCTTCCACTGTCACAAAGATAATTTTGCTGTTGTATACAGCACTTTCTAGGATTACAAGCAGTATCTCAAGAATTTGAAAACTGCAGCCTGTCTGGTATAGCCTTCACTACTCATAATGAGAGAGATACACATACTTGTTCATGCAGGGAAAGGGTGTGGAAGTAAATGCAGGAGGACAGGGACCAACAAAAAGTACCAAGGAAGAAGGAAGGGGTAAAAAGGCTAGCTTGTGGTTTTACTGACAAGGCATGAGCTTGTCAAATTAACATCAACCACCTAGTTTCATAAGCAAAGAGACCCTGGACTGCACACCTCTGGATGACAGAAGAGAGAACTGACTCAAATTAAGGATTTAAAACAAGCAGGATTAACATGCACTGCTCCACAAGGAACAAAGCAGATTTCCACTGACTACCTGGAATGTAACAGGCAAGCAGGAGAAGCCTGACATTTACATTTAAAAGCTATGCTAATGAAAATTGCTCTGAAATGTTCAAAGCAGAAATAAAAAGGCAGTTCAGAAACTAACCAACAGCCTGTATTAAGACTATAAGCAGTTTTGTTTGAAAAGTGACATTACTAGCCTTTTGAAATTCAGCACAACGTTGAATGAATAAAAAAAAAAACCTATGTAAAAAGATGATAGCGGTGTCTCTGTATGTTAAAGTACCGTGATAGAGCTGAACAGCATAACATATTTTAAAGCAACTATGAAAACAGAATTTTGAACATTCAACTATTTTTAAGCTTTTGTAAGCATCAGAGTAATGTATTAAGGAAACCTGCGACGCTTTTGGATGCAAAAATGATCTGTTCATTGTGTTTAATTAATAATGTTCTGTAACACTGTAAGGAGACCTATATGAGCCTAATATTCATGTTAGCCGATGTGCAAGTTATAATTCCAACTCAAGAAATGGGCCTAAACTATACTTAATGCTTTCACCTAATGACAAACATATGTGACACGGGGTATTCAAAAGTAATTTGTAAAGAATATTGCAAAAACAACAACATAGGGAAAAATTTTCTGCTGGGGCTTTGGGGTTTTTTTTTGCTTAAAAAAACTAACAGATCATCCCTCTACAAAACAAAAAATAAATCGTTCAGTAAATATTTTAAATTTAGATTAATTGGAATCACTTTCTTCTAACTTTTGAAATACAGGATTATTTTCAGAAACCGAAAAGCAGCTTCTTAATATATGCAGAATGTAAGTGACACTACATATACTGAATTAATGTATGAAACCCAGGCATGTTTAATATTGCCTCTTTATGTTTTCAGCATAGGCAATTGATTACCATATTAATTAAACTCCATTAAACCTGATGAAACATAGTTCCTAGAACAGTTGCACCTCTTCATGTACATTGGATTCTTCACAGAGGTGACAACAGTGTACATAAATGAATAAATAACAAGTCCCACTGAACAGCTGCCAGTAAGCTTCAATGAAGAGTCGCCATTTTCCTCACAAACTGAAAACAAACTTCTCATTTTCTATTGTGACAATAATGGACAATTAATGCAGAAAATGCAGCATGTAACAAGACTACCGTGCAAGGTATCTCAGATGCAAGGACAGGATCTGAAAAGCCTACAAAAGAAATACTCCAGTACTGTCTAGGCAAAACCGGTATATTTATACGTTCACTTGTTTGGAATGCCAACGGTGAAACAAAATTGTCCTTACCAATCATGTTAGAGTATACTGCCAGCATGGCATAGTATTGGCTTAAACTGCTTCAGCAGGGAGCTCAAATATAAAACCAATTAGACAATTTACTGGATACATTCCACAGAATTTTAAATTTTCTTACATGAAACATGTAGCAGATGATTTAAAAGGTCTTCATAATGGTTCTCAATACACTGATTAAAGTGTTACCTATTAAAACAAAACCATTTATGGCAATCTGCACAACTGAGAGGTTGTATGGCATTCCTCTCTGAAGAACTTACACAGAGCCAGATGGAATATAAAGATCATCCATTAGTATGTAAGTAGTGCAGTTCTCTCTTCCCTGGTGCTGATACTGATCTAACTTTCCTAGTGCACTTTTGTGAAGAGAGGGAAGAATGTATCCACATGAAAACAGCTTTCTGAAAGCACAGAGGATGCCATTAGAAAAAACAGTGCTAATCAGTAAATGTTACATGCATGTTACTGTCAACAAGGTATGGAGAGACTAAAAAAAAAAAGGTATATACTGAAAACTGGTAACAGTTTTGAAAAGAAAAAAAAATAATGTGTTGTCTTCTGTCATAAAAGATGCTCCTAGTTAAGGTGGATAGATTGTCCTTAGATATCCCCCATTCTTTTCTTGTAATGTTGCATTACTTTCCATTTCCATCAGAGCATGAAACATTTCCAAAAAAAGTATTTTACTAGTCTCCTCTTTCCCAATTTAGGTTCTTCCCTCCCAACGAGTTGTTGCTACCTTGGAAAACACAGTGCTGATATGGAAACCACAAGGCATTACACAATAGACTTCCACAACTGCTAAATTCAGACCCTTCAGCTTGATTATGGTAAATCACTGCTCTGCTCCGAAAAGAGACTCCTGCTATCATTTCTGGCACCAAAGCCAGTAAGGACATTTTTGGTTCAACAGTTTATACTAACTTAACCTTCTGCATGTTCTAAGAAACAAAAATATAAAGGGATGAGGCAACGTTTATAAAAAGCAGAAGAAAAGAAAAAGGAAAAAAAAAAAAAAAAAAAAAAAAAAAACCAGAACAAAACAAGCCACACTACTGTTCAGCCAAATGGCAAATCTAATCTGTTAATAAGGTGCATGGAGTTCAAATGGCCGGCTTTGTGAGAGCTTTTATTTTACTTTCTTTCTTCCTGTTACTCTTTCCAGTAACGTAGGGACATCACACGAGGCACAATCCATCCCAAAAAGCAGACCCCTTTCTTTGCACAACCGGACCCACCAAAGGGCACGCGCAACTGCGGCTTGCGCCTTGCCCCTCCGCCAAAACGGTCCCGTTTAAATACAGACCCGGGCGGGGGGGGTGGGGATGCCCGAGAGCCGCGGAGAGGCCCGGACCTGCCAGAAGCGCCGACACCATCGCGGCTGTAGGGTCTATGCCGACACCCGAGCAAGAGGACTCGCGGCCGCCGCTCCGCCGGGAGCCCCCAGACCCGCCGCCCCGGGAACCGCCGGGCCCGCTCGGGCCTCTGGGCCGACTTCGGCTCCCAGCGAGCCTCAACGCCGCCGACCGCGACCGCCGGGCCGGGGCCGCCTGCAGGCCTGCGGCGGCAGGTGAGGGGACCTCACCCGGCACGAAGCGCTCCCGTTAAAAGCAGAAAAGGCGGAGGGGGGGGGGGGGGGGGGGAGACGGGAGGGGGCGAGCAGAGCGCCCTGCAGCAGCTGAGGGAAAATCGGCTTCTGTTTTCGTGAGGACGACCCCCGCCGCCCCAGGCCGCGGGCGCCCGCGGACCGCCCGCCCGCAGGACGGAGCCCCGGCCCGGCCCCCAGCGCCTCGGCCCGGGGCGAGGCGGGAGCAATGGGCTCAACCCCCGCCCCAGGCTGCGGCTCCACGGCCCCTCTCCTCCTTCAACCGGCCCCGGCAAAACCCGGGGAGATCAGGAGAACAACAATAAATAAAACTTGGCGAGATAAATAGTTTCAGAAGGCGGCTGAAAACGCCAGCGACACAGCGGGCCCCTCCCCGCCCCGCCCCGCGCCCTGCCCGCACCCCCCGGAGGCCGAACCCAGCCGGGCTTGCCCGGTCCCCGCCACCCGGCCCAGCGCCCCGCTTACCCCGGCGGCTCCGCGGGCCCCTCGGCCCGGCCCCGCTCTCCGCCTTCGCCCTTCCCGCCCCCAAGTAACGGCGCCGAGCCGCGCCGCGGGGGAAGCGCGCTCAGGCACGCCCCGGCGGCCTGAAACCTAATCCTGCCCCGCCGCCCCCCCGGCCCCGGCGCGGCGCGGCCCCCCCCCCACGCTCCCCAGCGCCGGCGGGTCTCCGGGCTCGGCGCCCTCCGGTGCTGGTTTTAGCGGCCGCCTACGAGCGCGGGGCCCGCCCCGGGCAGCGGGACTGCGGCCCTATCCCGACAAGGATGGGTGTCAGATTTCGGGGGTTCCCGTTCCGCTCCCGCCCCGGAGGGCCGCGTCGCAGCCGTTGCCGACAAGTTTCTCTCCCCACGGCCGCCGGAGAGGCGGCGGAGGGGAGCGGAGCGCAGCGCACGCCTTGCCGGGGATGACCCCGAGGAGCCGGGGTGCTGCGGGTCTCCCCCCGCGGCTTGCCGGGCTCCATGAAGTGAAGGCGGCGGAGCGCTGACCCCTGCCTCTCCCCGGAGGGGCTGCCCCGCCAGCCAGCGGCTTTACCCCTTTATGTTTCGACAAGATGAGCCTGGGCTGGAACGGAGGAAAACGGGAAATGCTTGGAAACGTTAAAGCAACAACAACAAACCGACAAACAACACATGATGAAGTTAGACAAAATGACGGATAAGGTCATAGGGCTGGTGAAAGGCCGATTTTTCCCTCAAAGCAACACCTGGTTAGTGTCTTAACTAAAAGAAGATGCTGTATACCTTTCACATATGTGTATTCATCATGAGAATAAAGCACATAATGCAGAAGTGTTCACAATGACCACCAAAAAAAAAAAAAAAAAAAAAAAAAAAAAAGGTTCTGCAAAAAGCAGAAGTATTCTGATCCTTGTTGTTAACTTTGCTTTACCTAGCAAACGTTACCACGATCATGGTCCCCCCATTTCCGTGCCATGAGATAATTCGGTGCTGTAGATGCACTCCAGCCCCTGCGCCACAGGGACAGGAATCCTGGCTGTGCCGCTGGGCTTGCTGGCCCTGCGCTCTTTGGCCGCTCACCGTCCGATCTGGTCTGGTTCTTTCTCCAAATGGGTTTTAACTGTAAACGTCAACATATTCAAGTGATAGTTGTTTGGGGTGGGTTTTTCTGTCCCACAAACAATTTAAAGTCACTTCGTTGGAGACAGAATGGAATACTGCCCTATATATTTGAGGGCAGTTCAGTAAATGCAATCCCAGTATACTTTCACAAGTTTACATTTGTCATGTAAACTTTAAGAAACGCAGCCCTTTATACATTGCCTGGATTTTATTTTTTTTTTCTTTTTTAATTTGGAAGATTAACATCTTAAAAATTTGACTCTTCAAACAATATTTCTCTTTGTTTATTACAGTTGCCAGATTGAAGAACTCCAAACTATTAGCTACCTTTTCTTTTGCTATATATTAAAATGTGCATATAATTACACCTGTTTAACAATCATTCTTCCACTTCTTAAATAAGAGAAGATAATTTTCAAGATTTTATTCACAGTTTACGCTGTTTGATCCAGCATTTGCTGGTGAGTATATTGCTTTTTAAAATCAAATATAGAGGGTCTGTTTGCTATAGCTGAAACATTGAATGCTCTATAGACTGTTCCACCAGCTTTTTGTGTTACATGAGCCTTTATTGAATCCGGAATGAAATCTTAAAAATAAGGTACATTTTGTTTGCACGTAGCATTGTTCAATAAATAAACAGTAGATTAGATAAGTGCAAAATCAGACAGCTATTGCTATTTTTTCTGTTGCTCAGTCTTTAATCATGGCATCCCACTGAAATAAAATATAGTAATTCTGGTAGGTTTATTTGGAGCTAAAACCAGGTCAAAATTGGGTGCAATGGTACTTTACTCCTGATGTATAACAACATCAGCTGTGTAGTAGTTGTTCCCAGTGCAATTTGTGCTTGTATAGAATATACCTTTCAGATAATATTTTAACATGCAAACTGCTATTCTCAAGTAGAATTACATTTTCAATTATATTCAGATTTTTTGATGTCCTGTGGGGTATATTAAGTAGATTATACCTACTAAAGTTCAAAACATCATGATACCTTAGGCCTTGCCTGTGTTTAAAAAATTTGCATGTGTATAATTATGCTACCATAGCTGTACCCACAAACCTAGCCCTCTCGGTAAACATACGGCACATCTGTAACAGGAATTTGCATCACAGTAACATAATTAGCTCTCGGGTACAGTAGCTGGTAGCTCTGATGAGTCATGCAGCTGTGGTTCTAGAAAATAGCAAAGCAAACTATTAGGGTTTGGAATACACTAGTGGTCTTGTGGTTATACCTAGTAATTAGATAGATTAACTAGAGATAATCTAGGATAACTAGAAAGACATCAGCAATTAGTTTGCACTCATTTCTTCTTTTTGCCAGAAGTGTTATAAAGTAGGACAAAATGATAGTCATTTCACTGATTCTGCAATGAGGAAAGGACGTTACCTCTCCAGTCTCTTCCCACAAAAAAGAAGTTCTCAAAGTATTAATGATTCCCCAGTGTGGGTTCGGTGATGTACAGTAACACGTGATGTTTAAATTATGTCATAACTTTGTTAGTGTAAGTAGTGTGGCCATTAATGTTGTGTACTTTTGAGAGATGCTGTCCTTAAAATGTGAGGAAAGAGAATCTACTTTGTAATTCAAGTCTAAATGTGTTTACAAACTAAAAAAATAATTTATATATCTACATACATTTATGGACATCATTTTAAATAAAAACTGCAGCAGTTTTTTAGAACATAATATTATATTCTGTCAGAAAGGGCTGATAAGGAGAAGATAAAGGGGAAAAAAAAAACACAAAAAAAAAAACCCAAACCCAAAACAACCAAAATATTTTATGTTCTTCAGTATTAAACTCCAGTAAGATTTACTTTCTCAGGTCAATTTATCATATACGCATGGTAAAAGTATCAATAGTGGATGAGATGTCTGCCTTCCTGGTTTACTTATTGCTGGTAAAATAGCAGCAATTAATATACTGGTTAGATTTATTAAAAAACATGAAGGAGAAATAAACTCAGCAAAAAAAAAAAAAAAGGTCTTTACAAAAACACAAAAACAACAGCAGCACCAAAAACAAGGCTATGTGTCCATTAAATCATTCTTTAGACAACTGTTGGGAATGCAATCTTTTAAAATAGTAATGGGAATGGGATCTAGCAAATTAGGTGAGACTGAGAATCTGATCCTGCTCTTACCTTACTCACAAACATTGACCTCACTGTAAGAAGGATATTGCCTGTGAAAAACATTTGACAACATTTATGGCACAAGTCAATTTATTTCCTAACAAAAAAGATGCCTTCACAACAGTAATTGTTTAGTTTCATCACTCTGGGTATTATATTCTGGTATGGGCACTGGGTTTACATGGCCCACTGCAGAATGGGTATAATACATATTTTAGGCACTTAGAATAATTCTGAGGAGACAACTCGGAAATGTTTATATATTTTATATTTATGTTTGAAAAATTCCATCTCTGAACTTAGATTAACACATTTTAAAAGACCAAGAAACCCTTTTCATAAGCAGTACTTTAATTAAAAATAGAATATATTTCTGCTTTTATAAACTTACTCTTCAATATTACAACATCTTTTTGTTAATATATATTCATGTGTATTTATGCATATATAGACACATTAGACTTTTCAGCAGAGCATTTACTCAGATTTTAAGCTAAATACAACTAATAACAACCTTCCTTGTTAGAAAATCGTAATAATTATTATAGATCAATTTTTATTTCCCAATATGTAAACCAAGAGTAATCCATTGCATTAAGTTGAATTAAACTGTAGAAAACCAATCGGAGATCAAAGGTAATTACGATCCTAATTGCTACAGCTGCTAATCTAAAGATATTAAGTATGTGGTTATACATTCTATCCTTATCTATCCAAGTAAGACTGGATCACCGTCCTTCTTCTTTTTCCTGGAGCTCTTTAGAATACTATACTTTTGTACTACATTTTCCAGAAGTTACACTAGCAGAAGCATACAGTCGAATTAAATGTAACACTCTTCTCCTCCATCACCTCAACATAAAAATTTACACTTCAGAAGTCAGATGGCAACAAGTAACTATGCAGTTGGAGGTAACACCATGCATCATGTTATGCAGAGTTAAAATGAGGAACTTTTTCTTAACTTTGGTGCTTGGAATTTATTAAATTTTTGGATTATTACGCTGGCAAGTATAGAATATTAGTTTCACTTACTGGAACATACATGTTGGCAAGAATGGTGCATAGATTTACATTTTAAAGGGTTTTAGGGAAATTGTCTCCCCTGAGGACATACTTCATAACTGTTATTATTGCTATTGGAGGTTACACATGTGCATATAGAAGAAAAAGTATGCCCCATAAGTTAAAACAGAGTTAAAAAATCATAAAAGGTATGTTAATTATTTATAACTACAAAATAAGATACTTGAAATTATGGCAAATTAGAAGGGAATTTATTTACACACAAACAGGATTGTTTAAAACCAGAGGCCTTGCCCATAGCAGAGAATTGAAGCCAAATAAGTGACAAAGCATATTAACTTTATCATAGATTTTTCAGACACATAATACCTACAAGGAGAGTCTGGTTTTGACAGATTAAGGCATTTTTTCTTTTCTTTCAAATGTTGTGTTTTGCCAGAGTTGTCCACATATCTGACAGACCCCACTCTCAGAAAATTTAATTTAAAAGCCTTTTTTTGGGAGTGCCTCAAGAGACACAGTCCAGAACAACATGTGATCTGGGGTACTTGTCCATGCAACAGTTG